CTAACAAGGAAGCTTTGTACGGAGCACTAGTAGGGAAGTTTATCCAAATTGGATAGTATTTAATGGATCCTGGCAACCCCAGAGTCTCCCTCCTCCAGGACTTGTGCTCCATCTTCAGTGATCTTTTCTAGATTGCTCCTTGGTAACTGGTGGTGGCTAATTCTCCTTGGGCTTGGGTACCAGCATGTGGTCGTCCTGGCCAAGTTCTAGGATCCATTTCCTGACTCCATGTGATTGGGTTTGGGGATGTGGTTGCAGTGAGTGGTGGCCCTGGAACTGAAAACAAGGATGGTGGTGAGCTCAGCTCACTCCCGCTGGGCCTGACAGCACTGGACACTCGGCCTCTGCAGTCTTCTGCCCTCCTGGACAGCAGCAGCAGCAGCAGTAGCAGCAGCAGCAGCAGCAGTAGCAGCAGTTCATCTGGACCCAACCCTTCTACCTCCTTTGAGCCCATCAAGGCAGACCCCACAGGTGGTGAGTGCTTACTGAGTGGTGGGGGCCAGCAGGGAAAGCCAGCCCAATGCTCAGTCAAGCACATAGCTGGACAGTGCCTTTCCTGCTAGCCCTGTTCTCTGCAGCCAGGCAAGGGTGTCTAGTCTCAGGGTCAGTGCTGGTGCCTTTTGCCCCCTGCCTAGAACTTCAGTCCCCATCTGCCACCATTTGGAACATCACAGAGCCTCACTTGTTACTCTTTGTACTCACCTTACCATTCTTGTTTCCTTTCTATGTCTAGATGCCTTTAAAGAGTAATCCATGTTCACACTCACACGCGCGCGCGCACACACACGCACACACACACAAACCACCCGTCCCCGCTGTAGCTCTTGGTGCAGCCCCTAGCCCAACAGGTTTCTGAAGTTAGGTATAGGTCTGGTACTTTCTTGGTCCCCGCTGAAGTTCTTTCCTCGTTTGTCTTTACTCTCAGCTCTTGGCTTAAATGTTGGTGCTTCCCATATCACACCCGGGGAGAGCCTCAGCTCTAGGGATAATGGGCTTCAGCCTCTACGTAGTCTAGGTATTTCACCCAGCCTCCACATCTCTGTCTGACATCCATCTTCTGTTTCCCTGGTGGACACCTCATTGCTGCATGTCTTCAACTGAACTTGTCCACCCTGCTCCCAGTTTGACTTTCGACTCTATCACTGGCCCTCGTCACCGGGCTGGAGGCACCTCTGTCACCTCAGTTCTTGATCCCTCTGCTGCCCACCTTATACCAGCCAAGTAGATTCTGTGAAGCATCTCTTCTCATCCCTCTTTCGTTCTCAGCACTCCAGATAACTATGAGCATCTTAATTATTCTAGATTTATAGTCATCTTTTCCTTTAAAGCTTTTTTATTTTTGTAATTTCATACATGTATACAATGTGTTTTTTTTATTGTTTTTTTGAGACAGGTTGCCTATGTAGCCATGGCTGTCCTGGAACTTGCTATGTAGACCAGGCTGGCCTCTGCCTCCTGAGTGCTGGGATTAAAGGCGTGCGCCTTACTACATGCAAGCACAGATCCAAAAAAAAATGACTTTCCCTTTCCCAGCTAGTTGGCTGGCTTGGTCTTCTGTAGGTAACCATAGCTGCTTGTGAATTCATGAGTATACCCAAAAGACAACATTTCACAACACTCTTCCCCAACCTATGGCTTGTACAATTTTTTTTATTTTTATTTATTTATATATATATTTTTTTGGCTTAATACGTTCTTTCCATACCCTCTTCAGCACTGTTCCCTGAGCCTTAGGCTGAGTACTCAACTTATTCTCAGCACTTTGATCAGCTATGAATTTCTGCATTGACTACTGCTGCCTATTTTCTCTGATCAACATATAAACATAAAATTTAGGCTGGGCGGTGGCACATGCCTTTAGTCCCAGCACTCAGGAGGCAGAGGCAGGCGGATCTCTGTGAGTTCGAGGCTAGCCTGGGCTACCAAGTGAGTTCCAGGAAAGGTGAAAAGCTACACAGAGAAACCCTGTCTCGAAAAAACCAAAAAAAAAAAAAAAAAAAAAAAAATAGGCTGTTCCTTTAATCCCAGCACTCAGAAGGCAGAGGCAGGCAGATCTCTGTGAGTTCGAGGCCAGCCTGGTCTACAAAGCAAGTTCCAGGAAAGGCACAAAGCTACACAAAACCCTGTATCGAGAAACAAACAAAAAGAGATGAAGATGGAAGAAAAGTACTAGGAGGGTGAAGGGGAGATCTGGGTTGTAAAGGATCAAGATATATAGAGCTGGGTGAGAAAAAAAAAAAAGAAAAACTAAAAAAAAAAAAATTGAGATGGTTTGATGGTATACCTATTTAGCAAAGCAGTAGAAGTAAGTTCCTCCCCTGGGGTCTATGATCTCCTCAGCCGTGGGTCTTTGGCAAGATTTACAGTCCTCAAATCTAAGCAAAAGGATCTTGGTTACCCTTGTACCAGTTATGCTACTATTGCCTGGTAGGTTGGTATTACCAATGGAATGACCTTTCTGCAATGCAATCCTGACTGGAATTTCTCAGTTTGTAAATATGGCTGGGGATACTGCTCAGTGGTAGAATGCCTGCTAAGCATGTGTGGAGACGTGTTCAATCACCAGAAACAAAAAGTCCTGGGGGATGGAGAAATTGTACATATGCACTATTCCATGAAATTGGTTCTTTTTATCCTCCGTAACGTGGGCTCCAGGAATTGGAGTTAGGATGTCAGGCTTTAAGACAAGCACTTACACCCACTGAGTTACCTCACTGGCCTCCCAAAATCTGAACTTTTAGAAATTACTGTATGCTGGGCAGTGGTGGCACACACCTTTAATTCTAGCACTCGGGAGGCAGAGGCAGGTGGATCTCTGTGAGCTTGAGGACAGCCTGGTCTACAAAGCAAGTTCTAGGACAGCCAGGACTATAGAGAGAAGCCCTGTCTCAAAAAAACAAACAAAAATGTGTATGTGAATGGAACTGAAATTACAGGTGGTTGTGAGCTGCCTGGTGTGGGTTCCAAACTCAGGTCCTCTGAAGAGCAGGAAACACTCTTACCACTAAGCCATAGCTCTCCAGCCCTAAATCTGAACTTCTGAGCCCTGCATGTAACACCCCATCATGGTCTGCTTCCCACGTGTGTCCTAATCAGAGGTTTGTAGTAGGTTCATCACACTAGCCAAAGGCCAGAGTAGGTGCCCAGGAAGGGCTGGGGTGGACGGGACATCTTCTGTCAGAGAAGGTGTGCACTCCCAGCTCAGAAAGGGATTGGAGTTTTGCAGTGTCTCTAAGTTGGAATGGCTATACTTGTCACCTGCTGTGGGCCTTTGGTAGCCTGGGCTCAGCACTGAGGAATTTAGGTCAGCAGACAAGACACCTATACCTCAGGTAGGGCCAACATTTCCTCAGCTCTGTGGAGCCCTGGGGCTTAATGATAGATGACCTGAAAGGTGGACTATAGTGGGACCCAGCTAAACTTCCTTTGAGCTTAGCTTTCCTCTCTTTCAGTTCTGGATCTCCCCAAAGAGCTGTCAGAAATCTTCGACCCCACACGAGGTAGGCTGTGTTCCTCCTTTGGAATGGATGTAGGGAGTAAGGAGCATTATTTTTTTTTTTTTAATTTTTTTAAAGTTTTATTTATTATGTATACAGAAGAGGGCACCAGATCTCATTACAGATGGTTGTGAGCCACCATGTGGTTGCTGGGAATTGAACTCAGGACCTCTGGAAGAGCAGTCAGTGCTCTTAACCTCTGAGCCATCTCTCCAGCCCGGAACATTATTTTTTAGTTCCCTTCTAAGGATCATGTTGTGTTGGGTATCCCAGAAAAAGGGTGAGGCTTCTAATGGGTGTGCATGAGTCTTATTTATGGGCTTTGGTGAGTGGAGAGGTGAGAGTCAGAATCTGAGTAAATTGTGTTCATTCCCAGAGTGCATGAGCTCTGAGCTGCTGGAGGAACTGATGTCTTCAGAAGGTATGTAGCCCAGGAAGATGGGGAGAGCTTTGAGCAGGGGGTGGGTGGCTGCTGGGGATTTTGGCCTAAGACAGCCTAATGCTCTCTGCAGTGTTTGCCCCCCTCCTCCGACTCTCTCCACCCCCTGGAGACCACGATTACATCTACAACCTGGACGAGAGTGAAGGTGTCTGTGATCTCTTTGATGTTCCTGTTCTCAACCTCTGACCACAGGGGCATGTCCTGTGCAGCTGCAACCCACACTGTTTGGGCTGGGAGCCAACTAGGGATTGTCCCCAACCCCCACCCCCAGCTTGAGAGCCCCTGACTCTTGGCTTACTCAGCCTTCCCCAGTTGCTCAGTTCTGGCCATGCTACCCTGTCTTGCACTGACACTTGTACTGTGCTAGCAGAGCAGGGGAGAGAGCTTAGCCCTCTCTATGTGGAGCCCAAAGTGTTTGCCTTTTCTCTTCTGAAGCCTTCCCCAGCCAGGCCCAGCTGCCACCCAGTGGCACAGCTGTCCTGCTCCTACCAGCCACTCTTCTCCTAAGGAGGGAAAGGGGTGAAGCTGGGTAGTTGCTAGCTAACCACCCTAACTTCCTTTCCCACCTGCTCACCCTGCAGCTTCTGGACTTCTCATGTGCCCCCTTTCTGCCATGCCCTGAGACCTGGAACTTGGGGATGGCCATGGTGGAGAGGGTTAATAAGAAGGAATTGATGTGTCTAGCTAGGAATCTGGGTGGGCTGGTCCCTGAAGAGTGGCCCACCCTCCTGATACCCCATACTCACTCCCTTCACTTCCGTTTATTCACTTACCCTCATTTAGAGCCATTTGCAGAGATTTAGAAAGATTTACAGTAACGAATGGATTCCTATATAAAGATTATTTTTATACTTTTTTCAGCAAAAGGAAATTGTAATATTTGTACAGCATCCAAGTGAATAAAGACATGCCTAAGGCTATCTCTGATCTGTTTCTTTGGGGCCCCTCCCTGGAACTGCTGGGTTGTTGCAACTGGGTGGGTCACCTTACTGGAATGGGAGGTGTGGCCGCTGTGTAGGATGCCTGCCCTCCCAGTCTTCACCGGCTGCACCTTGGCGTGGGGCGGGGCCAGGCCTTCTCAGTGGGGCGGAACGGGTCAGGGCAGGCTGGGTCCTACCCTCCTACCCCTGAGATTAACCCGGAACTAACAGGCTCCTTTAGGAAGGCCTTGGAGCCAGATTGAGTGGTAACCTGAGCTGTGAGTGCAGGCCACCGGAGCCAGGCTTTAGACAGAGGGAGGACCCAGCCCCAGACGAGGTGCACCCTCGGCGGGAGGTGGCACAGTTGTGCAAAGTGCCGACGGCCACAGCGGCAGGACTTATGGCGCCCCCAAGGAACGTGGTGAAGATCGCTGTTCAGAAGTCTGACGCCATCCCACAGCTTATCCAGCTAGACCAGGTCAACGGGACTGTCCGAACTCCCCCTCCCACTTCTGGATCGTTCCTCTTCCCTCGGGCTAGCCCAACCCACCCCTCTTAGGAGTCCCTCATCCCAACTCCTTACTAGCGCCTTGACTGACAACTCCACTTGCAGGCAAAGCCCCTGGCCACTGTGCTGAAGGAGGTGTGTGATGTGTAAGTAGGAATGGGCAAAAGCGGGAGAAGGGCAGGGACGGATGGGAGAGGTGACCCTGGACTTCCCTTGCTGAGCTTCCTGTCCCACAGGTGGAACGTGACTGACTCCGAGCGCTATGCCCTGAAGTTTGCTGATGGGCACAAGAGATACATCACAGAGAATGTGAGCCCCCTCCCAGCCCCACACTGCACAGGGTCCCTCTAACCCACCTGGCTTATTCAATATATTTATTCTCCCTGCTCTGAATGTGAGTTCTTTTACTGACCCCACAACAGATGATCCGGTTGACCATTTCCCAGAGCCCTCTTTAACTTTGCTCCTTTCTGCTGTTTCCTCCAGAACCGCACGGAGATCAAGAATGGAAGCATCCTGTGCCTCAGCACTGCCCCAGTAATGCCCCTTTCAGCCCTCTCCTCCCCCTCTGCTGGGTCCCCTTGCTTGCGTGCCTAGTGGCTTCTGCCTCGGGTCTGGAGGCCCCAGCTCCTTAGTGCTCCACCTAGTGGACACCTAGGCCATCACACTTGCAGTTCCAGTAACATTCTAGTCTAACCACTTCATCTCTTTACTGCTCCTGCTAGGACCTGGAGGCCCAGCAGCTGCTGGGTGGGTTGCAGAGCACAAGTCGTGAAGGGTGCTACCAAGCCCTGAAAAACCTGGTCCCGCTGGCCTCAGACATGACCTTTGCCCAGGAGGTCATCAGCCGTGATGGGCTTCAGAGACTAAGCGCCATCATTGAAAATGGGGATGAGTGAGCACAGGGCCGTCTGTGGTGGGCTGGGTGACATAGCAGGGCTTGGGAATCTTGGTCTGATCCTACTCATCCCCAGGTGTTCTCTGTAGCCTAGGGGAGATGCTGGCCCTTGGTCTAAGGGCTTTCTTGGAGCTCATGGAACACGGCGTGGTGTCCTGGGAGACACTCAGCATCCCCTTTGTCAGGAAGGTGTGTGTTCTCTTCCAGGGGCAGTGGAGCAGTGCCCGCATCTAGCCCTCCCTCGTGAATGGTAGTGACGCCCTCTATCCCTTGCAGGTGGTATCTTACGTGAACATGAACCTGATGGATGCCTCTGTGCAACCCTTAGCTCTCAGGCTGCTGGAGAGTGTGACTTTGAGCAGCCCTGCCCTGGGCCAGCTGGTGAAGAGCGAGGTGCCATTGGACAGGCTGCTGGTGCACCTGCAGGTGTAAGCCTCTAGGGTACAGTGTGAATGGGGAAGTGCAGAACTGGCCTCTCGACGTCCAGCTGAGCCTGTTCCTCCTCTTGCCACAGAAGGAACCAGCAGCTGCAAACCAAGGCTATGGCATTGCTGACAGCCCTGCTGCAGGGGGCCAGCCCTGCTGAACGGAAGGTGAGTGTTCTGTCCAGGGTGACCGAATGAAGAACAGCAGTGGGTGGGTGCTGTGTTCCAGCTAAGAGCAAAGCCATCTAAACCCCTTCTCGCCCACTGCAGCATATGCTTGACTACCTATGGCAGAGGAATCTTCGCCAGTTCATCTACAAGGTAGGGTGGACCAGACCAGGGAGACCCGCTCCCCAGTCCTCCTTTCCCAGGGAGTCTTATCCAAGCCTGGCTGTTTTCCAGAATATTATCCACAGTGCAGCACCCATGGGCGATGAGATGGCTCACCACTTGTATGTGCTGCAGGCTCTTACACTGGGGTTGCTGGAGCCACGGATGCGGACACCACTTGACCCCTACAGCCAGGTGCACAGAGGTACAAAGGCTGGAGGGTCACCTGGAATTTTGTTTTGAATCTATGATCTTGACATGGTCCTCCCCGCTGACTTCAGGAACAGCGGGATCAGCTGCAGGCCCTGCGCCAGGCAGCCTTTGAACCAGAGGGGGAGCCCTCGGGCACAGGACTGAGCGCTGACCGCCGCCGTTCTCTCTGTGTCCGGGAGTTCCGAAAGCTAGGCTTCTCTGTGAGTGAGCCCTACCTTAGTTCCCACCCAAGCCTCCACCCAGGCTACAGTTACTCTAGGACTGTGGCCCTTCCTGAGCTGCCTGTGCTCCCCTCTCTAGAACAGCAATCCAGCCCAGGACCTGGAGCGTGTGCCCCCAGGCCTGCTGGCCCTGGACAACATGCTCTACTTCTCCAGGCATGCGCCCAGTGCATACAGTCGGGTTAGTAACAGACTGGGGCAAGCGGGGATGGCAGCAGCAGCTCAACTTCTTCAGGGTCTCCCTGGAGTCCTGTTGCCATCCTCTATTCCCACTGCCTTAGTTCGTGCTGGAGAACAGTAGCCGAGAAGACAAGCATGAGTGCCCCTTTGCCCAGAGCAGCATCCAGCTGACAGTGTTGCTGTGTGAGCTGCTCCATGTTGGGGAGCCTTGTGAGTTGAGCTAGATCCAATGTACTTGGGGGCAGGGGACGGAAGGGCAGAGAGGGCCAGGGGCTGTAGACACTTTCTCCCTGAGCCCCTCCTGCCCCCCCGCTCCAGGCTCCGAGACAGCCCAGGACTTCTCACCCATGTTCTTCAGTCAAGACCATAGTTTCCATGAGCTCTTCTGTGTGGCTATCCAGCTGCTGAATAAGACCTGGAAGGAAATGCGGGCAACACGGGAGGATTTTGACAAGGTGGGTGGGGTGGAAGCAGCAAGACCAGGGGCCATTTCTGGAAAGGGGTCCTGAACACAGGTCCTACACTGAGTTTCGGTGGTCCTAGGTAATGCAGGTGGTTCGGGAGCAGCTAGCCCGGACGCTGGCTCTGAAGCCCACCTCCCTGGAGCTCTTCCGAACCAAAGTGAATGCTCTCACCTATGGGGAAGTGCTGAGGCTGCGGCAGACAGAGCGGCTGCACCAGGAGGGCACTCTGGCCCCTCCTATACTGTGAGTTGGTAGGGTTCCGGTCTCAGTCCCCACCTCCCCAGTGCCCTGTGGACCGTGCTCCGGGTCAGCCCTGCTTAATGACTCCCACTCTCCATCCAGGGAGTTGCGGGAGAAGTTGAAGCCAGAGCTCATGGGCCTGATCCGCCAGCAGCGTTTGCTCCGACTCTGTGAGGGGATGCTCTTCCGCAAGATCAGCAGCCGGAGACGCCAGGGTCTCTGAATGGGCACTAGGTGTTGTGGGGGGTGTCTTAGGGTTTAGGGCCCCTCTCATCATCACTGCTCTCTTCCCTTTCGGCAGACAAGCTGTGGTTCTGCTGTTTGTCCCCCAACCACAAAGTGCTGCAGTACGGGGATGTGGAAGAGGGTGCCAACCCACCCGCCCTAGAGAGTCTACCTGAGCAGCGTGAGGAGGGCAGGGATGGGCTACTACACCTCTTCTCCCTATCCCCAGATGCCCCGTATCTTGGGTCAGCCTTGGGCCACAGTGGTCAGCCAAATCTTCTCTCTACAGTCCCTGTGGCAGACATCAGGGCACTCCTAATGGGCAAGGACTGCCCCCATGTCCGGGAGAAGGGTTCTGGGAAGCAGAACAAGGTGACTGCGGTAGGGCCAGAGGCTTCGCCCCTCCTATTCCTGTCTGCCTGCTCCTGTTCCCTACTCAGTGTTCTTGCTCCCACTTTCCTAGGACCTCTATGAGTTGGCTTTCTCCATCAGCTATGACCATGGGGAGGAAGAAGCATACCTCAACTTCATTGCCCCTTCCAAACGGGATGTAAGTTTCTGGGCTGGGCTGTTGGGCAGATGGGCAGGGGGAACAGATAAGCAGACACTCAGAGTGGGCCCTGTCCATCCCTAGTTCTACCTGTGGACAGATGGGCTGAGTGCCCTGCTGGGCAGCACCATGGGCAGTGAGCAGACTCGGCTAGACCTGGAACAGCTGCTTACCATGGAGACCAAGTTGCGCTTGTTGGAACTGGAGAATGTGCCCATTCCCGAGCAGCCTCCCCCAATACCCCCACCCCCTACCAACTTTAACTTCTGCTATGACTTCAGCATCACTGAGCCTTGACTGAAGTTGGCCATAGGCCACAACTGGTGCTGCTGTAGCAGCCACAAAGAGGGATGAAAAGAAAGCACAGACAACCTGACCAGCAGAGCCTCTAGCAGAAATAAAGTTGGCTTGGCTTATAGATACGTGTCAAATCGGCTCTGAACCTGTGGGCTAAGCCTGTTGATAAACATGGACATGTCTTCAAACGTAGTAAATGATGTAAGGGCACCAGGTAAGACCATACACTTGGACAGCTACTGCCTTTGGAAGGCTGGTGTTGGGTGGAGACAGGTAGGGACTATTGCCCTTCTTGAAATAAGTCCTTAGCGTCGTCAGTTCTGGACATGAAGAGAGAGCTGACCTGTCATTTGAGGTAGCAGCCACAGAAGAGATTGGCATGTCAGCCAACTGCCAAGAGAAGCAGCAGGGCTGGACACATTGCCCCAAATGGACACAGTCCTAGGCCTCAGCAACAGGGGTCTGTCTGGAGGCCGCACTTCAGAGGCTCCTGGTAGTCTGCCCTCATTTCCCAACCTTGCTTGGCCCTGGCCCTTGTCCTCCATGGGATGCAGAGACCTTTGGTGAGAGAGAGGCATGAGGGAGAGATGCAAAGCTGCGTAGAAGGCTGTCAGCTCCAGAGGGGTAGATCTGCACAAGAGAATTACGAGCTAACTCATGATCACGTCTAAGGTGGTGATCTCAGGCAAGTAAGAGTCTGTGGGGGCAGAAGTGCTGAGACAAGGTGGGTCCAGTTGGAGGCAACAGTCACAAACTCCTCCAAGCCCCTAAGACAAATAATTCAGCAATCCAGGGGCCCCACAGGGTAGGCTGAAAGCTACCACTATCCTGAGTAACTTCTATATACCATTCATTACTCCTCAAATACTGTGTTTAACATGCTAGTCATCAATGCTGTGCCTTAAAATTGATTAAATGACATTTCCTTTGGAGAAAGTGCTAGCAAAACACTTGGCCCCGCAAAACAAAAACAAAAAACCTGACGATACTTCCAATCTTCAGAGTGTCCATGATTGGACACAGAGCCTTGCTACTACACTTAGAACAGACTTTTGAGTTTAAGGTGGAAACGGGAGGGAAGGGGTCCTAGTTGCAGTTAGTGTCCCAATACAGTCAATTCTCAGTATCTTCATTACTTGTCCATGCTACCACCATCCTGGCATAGCCCCCTAACTTCTGGCTTCTAGTCTTGTTCCTCTGATCATTTCAATAGCTGCCACTTCAACACTGCAAATTTAATGTGATTACATACTCATACATATATCGTATGGTGGTTTGAATGAGAAATGACCCCTATAGGCTCATATATCAGAATGCTTGGCCCCAGTTAGTGGAACTGATTGGGAAGGATTAGTAGCTGTACCCTTGGAGGAGGTATGCACTGGGAATGGGCTTTTGAGGCTTCAAAAGCCCACACCAGGTACAGTCTAGTTCTCTCTTTGACTGCTGCCTATGGATCAGGATGCAAGCTCTTCACTACTGTTCCCCACCATGATGGTCATGGACTAACCTTCTGCAACTGTAAGCAAGCCCCCAGTTAAATTCCTCCCTTTATAAGTGCCTTGGTCATAGTATCTCACCACAGCAACATAACAGTAACTAAGACACATCCTATATTGTCCAGTATCTCACTACTGTTCTATTACCATGGTTACCACAGTTGAGTACTGAGTTAAGCTAGAAAGTTGCACAGACGTTTCAGTCCTTCCATTTGGTCTTCAAGGTTCCTGTTGTCAAGCCAGCCTCCTCCCTGTATCCCATCAGGGCCTACACATACCCCTCCATACCAGAACCAGCTCCAGTCTGTCCATCTGACCTCTATCCCTCTTCTGCCATTTTCACTGCCTTCATGCCTTCCTTGACCCTCTAAATTCATTGCTGCCCTAGGTTCCTTGCCCTGGGTGCTAATTCTCTGTTCATACATGTCCTGCATACCGGCCTATTCTGTCTATTGTCTTATTTGCCTCCCTATGGAGTGTGGTGATTGGGAGAACAATGGCACTTCTGAATTCCAACCTGAAGCACAGTGGCTGCAGGTACTCAGCACCGACTAGCTGCTTCTAGAACTAATAAACAGACAGACAAGGCATGGGGACACACAAGAGGATCACTGGATAGACTACCTCTGATCTGCTATTGAGAAGGCACTGGCATTGTTTAGAGGGCTTGGACTATATGACCACTTAGGACCCTCCTACTCAGAGATGCTGTCTTATTTCTTACCCTACCCCAAGACAGTACATGAATCTGCTAAACAGTTGTTCCCAAGTCTGGTTAGGACCAGTGCCTTTGCAGCAAGGCATGTCCAGAAGGGATGTGCTGGGAAAGGCCTCCAAAATCTCCTATGTGGAGGAAGCCAGGACCTAATTGAGTCAGTGTGGGGGCATCTGAGGTTCTCAGCGTTAACTGAGATGGAGAAGGGAGAGACCCCTTAATCTGAGAACATCAGAGGAAGACATAAAATCTGGAATTTTTAATCTTGTTTGGTTTACAGTGAAGTTGATGGATTGACTGCTAAAGCTCAGGAGGGGTGGAGACCCCCTGGGAGCAGGCAGAACAAAGGCTTTAGGTCTGAGTAGCAGGCTGGCAGGAGGCACAGAGTCTGGCCCTCCCCAGCATCGGGCCCAGCTCCTCTGTGAGCAGGGCCCATGGCAGCCAACATGTAGCTGGAAAGAGGTCACTGCCATCTGTAGGGTACACTGGGGCTGCAAGTATCGTGGAATGGTCCCATCCTGAGTCTTAGAAAAGGTTCTAGAGCAGGGGAAGGCACTAGGGCAGACTCAGGTCCAGAGGCCTGGGCTAGCACTATACTGGTGAAGGGAGATGAGCTTCAGGGATAGTTACTGACCTGGCTCAAAGTGTCAGGGTCAGGTCAGCCCCTCCCACAAAGCGGGACTGGATGCAGGTCACCTGAGGCAGCTGTGCTTGAAAGTGCCTGACGGCTGCCACGTTGATACCAGGACACATGGCCACATCCAACACTCGAAGCTGCTTGCATGCCTGCCCAATGGTATCCAGAGTTCTGCAAGGAGGCCACAGCATGAGTGCCTGAACCAGTGAGTGTAAGACCCAAGCCCAGCCCGTGCATTGTGGCTCAATGTAAGGCCATCAAACACTCACTGCTCTGTGAGCTGACTGCAACAGGACAGGTTGAGGTGCTGCAGCCTTGGCCAGAACCTGGCTGCCTGGGCCCATCCCTCATCACTGAGGTGGCTGCAGTGACTCAATGCCAAGCGCTCCAGGCTGGGACAGCCCCTAGCCACAGCTACCAAGCCCATGTCTGTGAGTGCTGGCAGTAGGCTCAGTGATAACTGCCTCAGCTGAGGGAACTGGAGCACCTGCAATAGGGATATAGAATGGCATTGGGACACAGAGCCTGGCCCCTTCCAGGTTCCTTGCTTCTACCAGAAACCAAAGAGAAAGGGACTCCAAGAACAAAGTGGGTTGGCCCAATCCCCTAGCACCAGCCCCAATGTCCTCAGCTTATTCACACCTTGGCCAAACTGGCATCAGTCAGTTTGCTGCAGGCTGTGAGGTCCAACTCCTGCAGGGCCTGAAGCATGAGCAGGGAGGGGCCCTGTGACTCAGAATTAGGCTCCTGAGGGTCTGGGGCCTGATTTTCCACCTCTTGGGGTAGCTGTGGGAAGAAACCACTGCTTCTCAGGTTCTTCATAAGTTCTGCTAAAGATTCAGGAGGTGCAGAGGGCAGCAGAGACCAAGGTCACCTCACCCTAATTTCAAGGATCTCATACCTGGGGACTTAGCATAGGCTCCTCACTTGGCTCCTTCAGCCCCAAAAGCCCCCAGTCCTGGAGCTCCTTGCACCAGGCCAGGCGCAGGACTGACAGGTGAACAAGGTAGGTACAGATGGCCTGCACGGTCTGGTTAGTGAGGGCCACACAGGAGGACAAGTCCAGCACTTTGAGGTTTGGGCCCAGTGCTGGGATCATGGAGAGCACTGAGGCATCCTAGGAGGAGGACAAGAGAAAAGGAGCAGCAGCTTGTGCCCCTAAGCTTGGCAGGGGTCATCTGCAGGGGTCCTAATGAGAGAGAGCAACATGGTCCCTGTGTTGGTCGTGAAAGTCTGGAGAGAACAGGGTGGGCTGTGAGTGGTGGGAGACCTAGATGAAGCTGCTGAAAGACACAAAGGCCAAGACTGTGTGTGGTACAAGAACGGATGTAGCTAGATATTTCTCAGGTGGCTGCCATGCCTGTGCTCAGCCCGTTTGAAAGGATGGGCTGAGGCAACACTGATCACAGCCCCTGGACCAGGAGTGGACAGGTGAACCAATCAGATGTGTTTCCTCTAGATTTTGAACCTGAAGGAAGCATCAGTGATGCCACCACCATGAGAAGTTGGCAGCAGGAGCTAAAAGCAGAGCGCACAATCTGGGTGTGTAGATTCAGAGGGAGCTGTGGGGCTTGAGGACTGGTAAAGCAGCTAAGAGACACTGGTGGCCAAGGAGTTGTTAGGGAGGAGTGCTTGCCGTGAAATGAAGCGGAGATAAGTCTTAGGTTTGGAATGCTCTTGTCATAGTAAGAGGTTAAAGGGATAACCCACAAAAAGGGACCAGCTGACACTGTCAGAAATGAATGCCACCCATATGGGCAATACTGGGCCCTATGAAGGGTTTGACTTCAGCCAAGAGGTGACCGTAACGCTCCCAACTGACCCACCCCAAGGCCCTGCCTACTGAATATCTTCTTCAGTGCCATACAATACAAAACCTCCTATTGGTTTTTGATTTTTTTTCCCAGACAGGGTTTCTCTGTGTAGCCTGGTCACTCTGTAGACCAGGCTGGTCTTGAATTCAGAGAGCTGCCTGCCTCTGAGATAAAAGGTGTATGCTACCATGCCTGTCAAGTTTTCTTTCTTTCTTTCTGTTTTTCTTTTCTTTTCTTTCTTTCTTTATTTTTGGTTTTGGTTATTCACGACAGTGTTGCCCTGGCTGTCTTGGAACTCGCTTTGTAGACCAGGCTGACCTCTAACTCACAGAGATCCGCCTGCCTCTGCCTCCCAAGTGAGTGCTGTTAAGGATTAAAGGCGTGTGCCACCACCATCGCCTCTGTCACATTTTCTATCACCATTTTCTATCTCTTTGGGCTTCCTCCTTCCAGAACTCACATACAGTGTAGAGACAGGCCAGTGAGGACAGTAGAGGCATGTGCCACCGCATTATCTATCTAAGCTGCTGTTACCTTTCAGACCACATCCCAAATTCGTGTCTAACTACTAACCCTGGGACACATACACTGGTTAGCGCCTCTGAGGCCACAGGCCCAGCTGCCCCAGGGGCCCTGGAAAGGAAGGGAGGGAAAGTAACTCACCTTCAGTGAGGAGCAGTAAGCCAGCCTGAGAGAAGTCAGTGCAAGTGGAGCTCTGTGAACTGAGCCTAGGACCTTGGCCAGTTCCCGACCGCTGACAAGACAGCACTCAGCCATGTCCAGGCTCTGCAGTTCCTGCAGGGCCCCCAGAGCTGCACAACCCGCATCAGTCAGCCGCTGCAGCTTCCTCAGACTCAAGTGCCGCAGGTGTTGGAGGCCTCGGCTCACAGCCAAGAGTGCCCTGTCGGTCAGCTCTGAGCAGCCACTGAGGTCCAGGGAAGTAATACCAGGCTGCTGGTGGCACAGGGTGGCCACAGCCTCTGAGGAGAGGTCTCTACAGCTGTGTAGGCTCAGCTCCTCCAGCTGCAATCCAGTCACTTGGCCCAGGGCTTGTAGGGCCTCAGGTGGCAAGCCAGTACCACTAAGGTCTAGGGCACGCAGCCTACCAGCTCGCTCTTTGACGAACTGAAGCAGGTTGTGGAAGGAAAGCTGGGAGGGAGAGGAAACCTGCGGGGTAATGGAGCCCCAGGTTGGGCCTAACTCAAAGGTAAGATGGCAGTAGGCCAAGGAGAGGCGCTCCAGGCTAGGGAAACAACCACTGAGATGGTTGAAGCTGAGGTCGGTCAGGTCACGCAGGCAAGCCAGGTTAAGATCACGGAGGCCACTCAATGCCTTTCGGACACACTGCGCTGTCTCAGGCTGAGCCAGCAGAGTGCCTGATGTGAAAAGACTGTTGCAGCCGCTGAGATCAAGGGTACGCAGGACTGGGCATCCCAGGATCAGGGCCAAGAAGGATGCCTCTGTGGGGCTGCCCCCACCCAGGCACAGGCTCTCCAGGTGTGGGCCTAAGTGGTAAGCAACAGACTGCAGTACCTGGTGCGAAGCTGGTGAGCCATCCAGATTGGTCAAGCTGATGTGTGAAATGCCCCTGAGGCCCAAGTTCTTGATGGCCGAGAGTGAGGCAGAGGACACAGGAATGTTGTACCGCACATTTGTCTATAGGGTAGCAGCAGGTCTGAGGTTAGATTTCTCAGAGGTTGAAGCCAGTTAAGAAAGGCCCTTTTACAATGAGCACCCATCCGTGTGTGTATTGTGTGTGTGTGTGTGTGTGTGTGTGTGTGTGTGTGTGTGTATTGTGTGTGTGTGTGTGTGTGATATGTGTAGCTGAGGAGGGTGTAGGCAGGAAGTGGGAGCTGGGAAGAGAAACAAAGTGGGAAGCAGGAAGGCAAACCATGCTGGATTTGGGAGGAAATGACTATTGGGCCATCAGGAAGGTGAGTGGAGGACAATCTAGATACCACAGAGGGGCAAGGATAGCGTGGGGAGTTAGCAAACTGAGCACAGGAGGGCTGTGGCCTATGGGACACCACTGACGCCTCTGTGGGGTGGGAGAACAAAGAAGGCTGGACCACGATCTTTTGCAGTCTCAGGTCTTGAGATCTGCTGGCCCAGCCAGGACCTCGACACTAGCTAAGCAGCTGACTGCCCCAACTTCCTAGAGAGGGCTTCGAGGACTGGAAGGTAGAAGTGAAGCAGGTGTCACTCAGCTTCTTGTGGGCCAGGTACCAGAGGGCTGGAACAAACACCAAGGTCTAGTCCCCTGGTGGCCTGAGTGCTCAAGCACATGAATATTTGCAAAAAAATGTGTGAGCAGAAGTGTGTGTGTGTGTGTGTGTGTGTGTGTTTATTCTAACACATGCCTAGAACACCTGTATCACATCTCTGCAGGTGGCAGGACCTAATATAAATCCCAGAGAAGCCAAGGAAGTTAAGCTGAACTTGCTTGGGAGAGCAGTTCACGTTGGTTGGAGTAGGGGTGCAACTCAGGAGTCAAGCTCAGGTTTAAGCTGTGGCAATATGATGGCTTGGGCAGCAGTTTGGGAGAAACTAAGGGAAATATTTTCATAGAACCTTCCCTGATCTCATGCCAAAAGGAGTTTAGGGGAAGTCAGTCTAATCTGTATGGAATAGATCTGTAGCGGGGAAGCTGACATGGGACTCCCCAAATCCTGTCCACTAGATCAGGGATGCAGCTCAGTAGTAGGGTGCTTACCTAGCATGTGTGTAGCCCAGTTAGAGCTTCAAAAAAAAAAAATCACCTAGTCCAATTGCCCTACCTGTTGCCTAGGTAGCAGGAAAGTGGTTCTTAAAGAAGGCTTTAGTTTTACCATCAACATGGATCTGATGCAAGAAAGCTGAGTTCTAGAAAACACTTACCTTTGTCAGCAACAACAAAAGTACCCTGTTCTCTGTTTCCCTCACGATAGCACCAACAGGGCATGAAAAAGGCAGCCCTGACATGCAGCAGGCAATCCTGCAAAATCATAGAGGCACTATCCTCCCAACCAACACATAACCCATCCCTACCAATGGGGGAGACAGCCTGGCTTCTTTCTCAGCAGAAACAGCCACTATGACTGTTATGGTGGGGAGGAGGATGGGTTAAGAGGCAAAACTGGGGAGCTGAGAATTGAGAAGCTCAATTAGTAGAGTAGTTGGCTGTCTAGCACAAAGTCCTAGGTTCGATGCCTGGTATTACAGAAACCAGTATTTGAGGGGTAGAAGCAGGAGGATCAGAAGTTCTAGGACATTTTTGGCTATATAGCAAGTTTGAGACCAGGCTGAGCTACATGAAACCCTGTCTCAAAAAAAGAAACAGAGACCATCTCATGGTCTCTCTCACAGGAATCCCTGTGATCCTCTTCCTGATCCCACTTCTAGACTGTGGTTGTTCCCTGGTCCCTGCAAGAGGAGCACTCACCACAGGTCCCTATCAGATCCCCTCGCTATAGACTAGTGGAGACTCCCAAGGGCCTAGGTTCCTCTCTCGGGTTTAAGGAGAGCTGGGGGAAGTTCCCAGTGTGAAGGGCTGGGGAAAGAGATCAAACGACCTGAGAAGGAAGGCTGTAGAGAGAAAAGCGAAGCAGCCTCCAGCCACTGAGAAGCCCTGCACACCATGTGGATCAGTCGGATGCTGAATCAACTGGAGCTGGAGGAGCTGTGAGCAGCTCAGTTGCCCAGGCAGCGCCCGCCCCCACCACTCATGTAGCTTAGGAGCCTAAGAGCCGCAGGGCCTCTGTGCTAACAGCTACAAGCACAAAGGAGCTTAGCTTCCTTCCCTTCCTGGGAGCCTGAGCAGCCAGGAATGTTCTTCCATTTCCCACTACCTCTCTGTGAACAAGGCAGACACACAGCCAAGAGAAGGCACTGGCAATCACCGTAGGGTGCTGTCCACAGTTGGCAGCCACAAGACAAATAAGCAGGGTCCAGCCCACAGAATTTCCAGCTACTGGGCAGAGACTTGAGACCATACCCGCCCCCGCTCCCCCCCCCCCCGTTTGTTTGAGACAAGGTCTTACACAGCTCAGGCTGTCCCTAAAGTTGCTATATATCAGGAGATGACCTTGAACTTCTGATTAGATTTCCTCCCAAGTGCTGGGTTACAGGCATGCATCACTACTATTAATTTTATGTAATACTGGGAATCAAGCCCAGGGCTGAGTACAGGCTAGGCAAGTATTCAACCAACTGAGCCACATCTCCAGTGGCCCCTGACTATTGTCAGTGTTAGCCATGCCAGCCTTGAACCCTTTACACAATGGTCAACCTGCTCCTGAGGTCAGCTGGATGGAATTGCAGGGGCCAAAGGGCAGTCTTTTACATTTTTTTTTAATGTAGAAGAATATTTACTTTTTTGAGGGACAGATGCGAGTAGGGCTCTTGGGTTCTGGACTTTGGCCTTTTCCAGGCCCTAAGAAACTGCTTTTGGAGGCTTGAGGGAGGACTGGAAGGGTACCTGCTCTAGCTCCAGCCACTCCACCCACAGATGCCCTTGGTCTCCTGTCCCCTGTTGGCATCTTAGGAGCAACTGCTGTCACTTTAGTACCCACTTCTGAAAACGACAGCTGCCCCTTGACTGTAGGAGGTCGGGGCTTTTCAGTGCCTAGTGAAGTCTCACAGTGAGACCACAGGCTTGTGCACAGGCTTGGAGAGCCTCAAAGAGAGAAGTGTTCCTGCTGCTTAGTACTGAGATCCAAAAGCCAAGGCACTTGCTTTCCTTTCAGAAAACTGCAGTGAAATACAACTCTGGTGCTCAGAGGTACTGGTCTCTGGGGAGAGTTAAATACTTTGGACAGGAAGACAGCAGTGGAAAGAATCTGAACTGCTCCACAGCGACCAATCCAATGGTGGCCACCCAGGACGTGCAGGGCACTAGGCAGAACTTGGAAGCATGTGGGGGCACTGCCTTTCAGAAGTCACAGAGCCCAGGTGTCCTAGCCTGGCGTGGGGAGACTCAGTTCCAGCTTTGCCTTAGCTGACAACTATCTTCCATAGTACCAGTGGCTGGTGACACTGCCTCCTGCTCCATCTGCCTACCCTGAGCCTTAGAGGACAGGCTCTGGAGACTGCTCTCTGGGGTGTAAAAAACGGTGAAGTCGGGGCAAGACCCTAGATGCCTGTGTACCTATAGCTTGGCCTTCCACCATTCTCACCCTAGCAGGGACTGTGTCAATGGGACCTGGAGTTCCCAGTTAGCTGCAGCATGCCAGCTCTACAGCAGGGTCTCAGCCACAGACCCCAGCCTTCTCCTCCTTCCCTCCTTGCTCCTCCTATCCCCTCTCACTCATCCCCAGGAGCCTGGCCACTCCCTCTGCCCGCTTCTTCCTCCAAGGTCTCTATGAGCCTGCTCTCTCCTGAGGGCTTGTAGTCTTCCTCCCCCACACTGCTGTGCCCACTCTTCCTGCCTACTCCTAGATAACAAACCAGCTGCCTACTTGCAGTCTGTGCTGGAGATAACAGAATACTGCTGAAGAAGCCATGGCCTTCCCTATCCCACTTCCTCCCTTCTCGCCTAACCCACCATTTTCTCCTGCTCTGAGCCTGCTGCAAAAGCTTTTCTGCACCTAGCCTTCTTAGAAATGGGTGCACATCTTTAATCCCAGCACTCAAGAGGCAGAGGCAAGTGGATCTCTGTGAGTTTGAGGCCAATCTGTTCTACAAGGTGAGTTCCAGGACAGCCAAGGCTGTTACACAAAGAAACCCTGTCTGGAAAAACAAAACAAAACA